TTTTTATAACTAAGAATAAATGCATTAAACAGGCGAATATTCTAATAAATAAATGCGCTATACACAATATTCGAAATCGGAGTTGAACGATTTCAYCAATTCGCCCTTGAGCCAAATACTCCAATTGCTTCTTGTAATTATAAATGTGTGTATTCATACATATTTTCATATACACGCATTAGTCATTTAAATATTTGCATATGTATGTATGATTATTTATTTTCTCTCTTCTTTGCAGCATATWTTATTTATTGTTCTATTTTGGAAGTCTATTTTGTGCCTTTTCACTTTCTGTGCTTCATTGTTAACACCTCTATTATTTCTAATCAATTTCTTTTTCTGTATGTTTTTGGCTTTGTTTCTGTTGTTATGAAACCTTACATGAGCCATTTTCTGTCGCTAAAACAACATTTGAACACTTGGGGTGATGGAAGGTTTTTTTTTTTTTTGTTTATCCTAGACCTGCTTTTATAGAGTTTCCATGGAAGAARTTCGCCATTCGTTGCTGCTATTCATTATTGTTGTGCTTTCAGGAGTTTTTTTATGGGTTTTGAATTCGTAATTTACATGTGGGCATTGTATTTTGCTCTAACCGTTTGAAATCGAACAAATATTTGTCATTATGACTAATACATTTATGTTTTCAAATTAGAAATCTCCTGTATTCGATGATGAAATTAAAAGTTTTAAAGTTCTTTTAAGAAGTTACTGAAATATATGCACCATATATGAAGGAAATGTTAACGTTTACTTTTTCCGACAAATTTTTACAGCAATTSCTATACAATAATTTATAATATAATATTTATTAACTGGATTGAAAAGAGTTGATATATTGCATTTGTACAGTTCCCTAGACCTCATCGAGAATCGTTAACTTTTCGCGATGAGAGGACTCTGTAAGGGTCTGACAGCGATGCCGATGATAGCTTAGTTACGCGCAGGGCCTCCCAAAACCGCAAGCTCGAAGGTGGACAYTGAAGTTAAAACTTTCCACATAACAAAATTCATCTGCTGTATGTGAGTGCAATAAATGTATTTGAAAGTAGAGTATCTCTTTCAACAACTTCGAATTTTTCTATAAATTGAAAGGTGAAGCTAATGTTTATTAGGGTGATTCAAAAACCTATGCGTTTCATCATTCATAATGATTTTATTTCATAGAGTTATAAAATTCATAATAAATAAAAAAATTTCCAAAAAATAATCAAACTTTAACTGTTCATATCTTTTAAACGGTTGGGTTTACGAAATAATCGTACAGACCTTTTTTGTAGAGCATTCAATTTCCTACAAAATCTAAGGAACAAGATATTTTTTCAAGTAGTTGGAAGCCAGACATAAAGTTTTCTATATGATAATAAAAAAAATAGACAATTGTAAGTAGGAGGACCTTCCCGTTACAATTAAGAAGTCATTCTTGGAGAGGCTTCCGTAGAGGTGTCTAGGAACMTATTTTTCAGARTACCCAACTAAAAAAAAAAAAATTTAATCATCCTAATGGTTATACTGACATCGAAAACAGTTATTATCTGTAGCGATTTTATGGAATTAGAATTTCACTTAAAACAAAAAAAAACAATTTTTACACCTTCGCTTCAAACGTCCTTTTAGAAAATAAAGCCGGTTATTGGTGTGGAATATGATCGTTTCGTCTTGACAGTTGTATGGATTTTATTACATACTTTTATGGGCCTTAGATCACCCTTAAGTAATCAATTAAAGTTATAAAGATATTCAAAAGAAATATATGAAGACCGCAACTATTGCAAAAAACGGATGATATCGGTGAATCAGTTGAGGCAATTAGGAAGTTAATTTACTCATTACATATGATCTTCAACTTAACTAAATAAGGTTCGAATATTCAAATGATGTTTCTTTTGGTTATGTTATTATTGGTGTTTATTTTTAGTATATACCGTTTTCTCATATTTCATTTAGCACAGGGTTGCATGACTTAAACTATATTTTATGGCGAATCTATTACCAAATCAAATGGGTAATAATTAGTGGCTAACTGCATGGTAAATGTAGAACAATTACGGATTAATTTTGTAAAATTGTTTTTATTTTTCAATTAGAAATTTCTTTGCGTGTTGCGTTAAGTAGTAAGACTGAAGATGTTACCATGTTTTAAGGATTTCGTAATTCTGCATATTTCAAAGCCTATCTATAATTTTTTTTTATGCGTGTAAACAGAGCAATCATGATCATTTGGATTCATCATACACGCTTAAGCCGCTYATAAATCAAGGTGAAGCTTAGTGTTTTTTCGATATTCGTGGTTTGATGCATCATWATTTTATTCCGGAGGAATAGACAGTCAATAAGGAGTTCTATTTGACTGTATTGAGTCGYTTGCTTGAGAACATCCGTCGAAAACGWCTGGAATTGTGTAAGAACAATTCTTGAATTTTACTCGATGATAATGCACTATCGCGTCGAGTCACGATTGTGACCGAATTTGAAACCAAAAACTCAATGAATATTTGAAATTGTCGCTCCTTGTAATCCGCTTTCGGTCCTGTCTCTTATACACATCTAGATGTGTATAAGAGACAGATAATGCACTATCGCGTCGAGTCACGATTGTGACCGAATTTGAAACCAAAAACTCAATGAATATTTGAAATTGTCGCTCCTTGTAATCCGCTTTCGGTCAGCTAAATAGATAAAACAAATGTTGCTGAAGAAGCTGAAGGCCATCCCAAAAAGTGCTTATGAAAAGCGCTTCAAGCACTGGAAAAATCGTTGGCATAAGTGYATTGCACCTGGTAGGGATTACTTTGAAGGCAACAAAATAAATATTGATGAATATTTGATATTTTGCGTTTTATTTCCAATTTCCGGATACTYTTTAGTCACAATGYAAAATCAATTAAATAAAACTTWCTCAGATTTTGCTATARAATCTTTTGATTTTCAAAAGTGCATAAGTCAAAAAACTCAATAATATTTTTGATCTCAAACGACTGGCAATAATTCAGTTGTAAATTATGGAATCTGGGCCTTTTCTCCTCTTTTTTAATGCCATTCAATAAAACATTTATATATATTTTTAGTATATGAGTATATTTATATATTTACATAGTTATTATATACATTTTGTGCAAGTTTGTAATAGTTGTAGTGGGTAATCAATAAAATACAGACACTTAATTGCTACTCGCTTATTCAAAAAACTGTGTAAATCGATATTCATATGTGTATTTTTGTACAAAGTTTCGTTAAATATGTGTCTCTTTTAATTCAGTTTCGTTTTTGATATACATATTTTTTTTTATTTTTGTAATAATTTAGTTTCAACTTTTTTTTTACAACTACGATATGGAAGTTCTTCAGTGCTTTTTATATACAGAACAAATGCTCTTGCARTATAATTTCAAACAACCGTTATGATTGTGCTGCCATTGTTGATCAAGATTACAAAATTCTCGTGTGGGACAATCAGTCAAAAAGAAAATTTTCTTGGATGAGAATAGAGCGCCGCAACCGGAAGTCTCTGGAACATTCACTTAATTAAGCAGAGCTTCCGGTGTACTGAATCTTAAAACTAATTTTGCTTTATACATTATTTTTAATTCTCTGTTTAGAATATTTCTCAGTAAAACCTCTTAATTTTTGACTTCCTTAACAAGCTCTTTCTCCGAACAGTACACAAAATTTTTYATCAATATTTTCTTAATAAATATTTTTGTTCCATTTCCACTTCACACGCACTGCATTTCTACTGGCGCTTTCTTACCCTTTCCACCGGTGGTTAGCATACGCCAAACGCGCCTCAAGCAACCAGCTGGCTTCTCATCCACCACCAAACGTTGTTCCTCCAAGATCGTATCCAATATATAGTAGCTGCCAAGACTAAGCGGTGGCGGCGGCAATATCGGAGGCTGTCATGAAATAATGCAGTTCTTCGTATCGCCGCCACTCGTAGCGCCGCTTGTCGATGCGGTCATCGAAGCTGTTGTGCCGCCAATCAAGGAGCCGCCGCTACCCAAATGTTGCTCGCTTGCCGCCTGTTTTCGTTTGCGCTCGTAAGCGATCGCATCGTTCGGCACGTAGGATACACGCACGCCACCGTAGTGTCTACGCGCGGGTATACGATACAAGTAGTCGTCCATATCGCTGGAGGAGCTGGATGAACAGGTGGAACAGACGCTTGTCACGTCGCAGTTATCGATATTGTTGTGMACGCCCGTCGCATTCGTTTGTGCATTGTGCAGTCTTAGATTGGCTTGGTTAATTTGCATTTCCGAGGAGCTGCGTGATTGGTTGCGTTTCTTGCGTCGCCGCCGCGCATTCGTGCTGTCCGTGTAGCTCTTCGAACGCGACATGGTGTCATGTACGCTATGGAAGCGTACCTCCTTCAAGTGTGGACGTGCATTTTCATCAGCATCGCTGTGGTCCGGGTCATCATCTTCGTCGTCGTCATGGTCGTCATCATCAATATCGGATTTGTTGCGCGATCGTTTCGTATTTAACAATATTTCGTAGTTATCATGCGGCATTTCACAGTTCTCGTCATCATTTTCAAGCTCCAGTTCATTKGTGATCTCTTGCGTGCTTTGCGTAAGCTCGGAGGCGCTCGGGGAATTAATATTGATCTTATCAATGCTCTGATAACTGTGTGAGTCCTCGCCTTTCGACATCAGCATGTCGGGCAGCGAAGATGTAAGGTTGCTGGGATCGCCAAATATCGATTTGTCGCCTGCACAGATATTGTCCAAACTAATGCCGAGTTCAGTGAGGTCTATAGGCGGAGGATGTGCAGGGCGGGGCACACCTGGCAGCGGCGGCATAATTGCATCACAACCGGCAGCCAGCTTACCCACAATCATCAAGCGATCAATGCCAACTTCCATTCGCTGACGCGCCTGCCGTTCTAGCAAATCTCCCGCGCTGCCAGCACTCTTGCCATTACTACCGCCTGCACCACCACCATTGCCGACCTTATGTCGCGCACCCGGTCGCGGTGAACGCGCTATTTGACTTGTTGTGCTAGCCCGATGTGTCGGACGCAGTTGTGGTCCCGAACTTGTGTCTGAAGGTGTAGGCGGCTCGCCTTTGCTGCAAGCAATCGAACAGTAAATTGTACCACGTCGCGGTAGAAATGGTCTACCCAAGAGCGAACAGCGACAAGTGCAGCAAGAGAAACACTGATCCGTGGCATGCCAATGCTGGCCGTCATGACTCATTTGTCCCTGATCGACGCCGATCACTTCGCCACAATAGTCACAATATTCAGCGAACATGRTGTCGAAACAGTTGAGGCAATAGGGCTTGCCGTCTCGCATGATGTAACGCTGACCGCCCAGCTGATGCTCGCATTCGAAGCAGGCGAAGTGTTTCATATGCCAAGTGCGACCCTCCGCTTCGGTGCATTCATCCGAAAAGATTATCTGAAATGTGGCAAACAATTAGGTGAATAAGTACGTTGATTACAGATATATAGTAAATGAGTATGTAACTAATACTACTGAGATCAAAAACGTTAAACGGTACGAAGCGTTTTCTTTGTATGTCTGGATAAGTGATATTCGTTTTTGCAGCTTAGAAACGTAAAGAGACTCAAAACATGGAATAATTCCCCATCTGGAGATCAAACTATATACATTTTCTCATTCGAACTTTTAAACATTTTTCTGCTTTATGACGAACCTTGAACACTGGAGGTCGCTAGGTTAGGTTAGGTCTCATGATGGTGATCATACTTGGAATACTATTCTTTATGAGGACATAAACTAGAGCTCCTGTAYCCGATGTTATAAATGTCTCATTATATCAGGGACATATCTGAAAATGCGAACTTGCAAAAGTTTAAGGCGGAAAAGGCCGATCAATCAGGAAGTAAGTGTTGACTTATTGGTATATCGTCTTCTTCCAAACAACTTATACAGCGAACATCCGCCTAGAGTCTTCATCGTACAGCGTAGACGACAATACGGCCATTTACCAGTTAGAACCCCACAATTAGGTAGAGAGAGACCAGTATTGCTGAGGGCATAATAGAGCGCACTGGAGCGTTTGCAATCCACTACGGGCCAAATATATCTTGGGAAAGCACAGAACTGATGGTTCAAGTATTTGCGAAGCGCAGCTATCATAGAACATCCGAGGAGACCGGAACACCGAAACGTTTACATTCTACTAACAGCGGAACTAAGGTGTTTTTTCTTGTCAGTTTGTCAGCTTTGCAGTTACCAGTATTTCCGTCAGTCATACTAGTCTTAYCACAAAATGACTCGATGAATTGAGAGCGAGATTAAGCAATCCTACTCTAGCCTTGAGTATACTGTTAGGAAAGTTCAGATTTGGCGAATTCTTCAAGYCTTACCATTTCTTGATAGACTAAAGGAAAATGTTTTGTATTTGTATGAGAAAAGWTGTTTGCTATCAACCATGTATAATATCTAAAAGAACCCTCTATAATGATAAATATCTAGATGTCAATACAGATTGCTTATAATGATCCGAATGCAAGGAAAACAGACTTACTCTAATAAGCTTAAAATGTAAACCGGAAGAAAATACAACTTAAATAAACYAAATCCAACAAATCCACCTACAATATGCATAAGAGCTTGAGACCCAAGGGCAAAGGAATGCAAGTAGCGCAGACAAAAGTAAACARAACGCTGCTTTTTACACATACCTACAGTCTACAGACAAATAATTGTGTACATACCTCATCGCAGGCGGAGCAGCGMGGCTTCTGGGTTTCGGCGTGATGTCTGCCACAATAAAGATTGCCGTCACGATGGAAATAAATCAAATCCACAAGTAATTCCTTGCAAACACAACAGACGAAGCAACCAGGATGCCAGCAAATCTGCGAGCCGACACGTTGGGCAAAGACCACAATGTCACCGGCCGATAATGGCTCATCGCACTGTAAGGGAAGTGAGGAAAGAAAAAAATTAAAGGTTAAAAATTTGTTTCTGTATAAAAGTACAAACATATATATGTARAAGGAAAAAAAATATATGTATATGTATGTATACATATATKCATRTATACATWGATACRTAYATATGTATATATACATACATTTAGGGTAAAAATACTTTTTTGCAATATTCAACGACGATTTTATTTTTACGGCAGCAGGCAAATAAAACTGGCACACAGCTATTAATAATAAGCAGTGAGGGGATATAAACACACACTCACATATATATATATATATACTTGTGGAAGTGAGCGTAGAACCCTCGTAACCCGGAACAGTGAGATAAAAGTAGTTAAAAGRAGTTTTACTTGTTGTTGCGGGCCTCGTTGCAGACACGCTTGGCGTAGTTGAGAAAAACATTAACTGATGGGAATCTTAAATATTTTTATATTTAAATAACAATAAATGTTAAATAGCCATCGCATAAAACATTTACGCCTGTCTCTTATACACATCTAGATGTGTATAAGAGACAGGCGTAGTTGAGAAAAACATTAACTGATGGGAATCTTAAATATTTTTATATTTAAATAACAATAAATGTTAAATAGCCATCGCATAAAACATTTACGCCTAGCGGTAGGCAATAAAATGCCAAAACAAAAAGTTATGAACGAAATGCCTAAAGAAGTTGTAAAGCAAAGCAAACAAAACAACAAAAATATACAAAAACAGCAACAACACGGCAAATAATTGCAGTTATATTTGAGAGTACAAGTTCTCAAAACAACAACAAGTGGACTGTGGTATGGCCGTTTTTCGGGCGCGCCATTGAACTACATAGTTAAACGGCGAAATTGTGGGTTCCGCTGAGGGATGGAAATGGAAATGATGTAAATTGCTTAGGGGCAATGAGCGAAAGTATTCCTTTGGGAATTTTTACGACCACACTATAAGGAASGAGAAGAGACAGTAGCAGAGGGTTTTCACGATACTTATTTACAATCGCAAATTAGAAAATGCAATGAAACAAACTGATTTTGCTCGTTTAGCACTACCCTTCTGGAAATTAATACATAAGGCAGATTTCAAAGAAAAGGTCGATGTAACAATTTGCGGAGASTTAGAAAGTATCATAAATATTATTACATTTTTAAAAGGCCACAAATTATTTTCATTGAAATGTGCTATTTTAGTATCCTTAAAACGTGTGAAGTAATATATCGGCGTTGCCTAGATGACATAAGCCTTATTTAAATAACAGTAAATATAAACTACCGTATGTTCCACTCCCCACATTCGAAGGCCCTTGCCATCAACCTTTTGAAAAGGTAAAAACATGAGACTTGTTCTTGATAGAGAGCTTTCATGAAGCCGAAGGCATCGGTTGCCCCCTATAGGGAAGAGATGGGGACTGTCGCCAAAGTTGGTGTTTGGATTCTGCAAAACCGTAGTCGAGTCAAACGAGCTATATGGTGTATTCTTTTGGCGAAGGACTCTAGAAGAGTTTAAGCTTGCTTGAACGCACACAAAGAGCGGTTCTCATCGGCATCTATGGTGCATTAATGTGGTCCAACAACGCTATTTTACACATATCAGTCGGGGATACTACAGCAGGTCGCTGTAAGGCTCAGAGAAGGTTGGTTTGTGAAAGAGACCAAACAGGGTCGATGCTGAAAACCTCTATTCCTTTAATTATGTTATGCATCACGGAAGTTACTCCTGGTGACTGTTTCTCCACTCGCATACCGATGAGGAACATGTGAACGTGGAGAAKTCGCACGAGAAGAAGCGCAGTAAGTATTTTAACGGATAGAGTTATTGGATAGAGAGTTGTTTTTTTTTAACGATTCTTCCTCAAGCCTAGCTTTGGCCTACAGGACTACTTTTGTTTTTTTAGATTTACTGCTCCGATGTCCGGCTTCTTTTGAGGAGAAGAGCAAACTTTCAGACACCAAGAACTTCATTATCTAAGTGGTTTGGGCAACTGGTCAAAGTTAATAAGCTACTCAGAGAAGGCACTCTTGCACCGCTCATTTCGGAATGAGTACGAATAGTTCCGCTGCCATTTTGAGTTTTAGAACTGTATGGTGAACATAATCGGCCTACTTAGCGTACTATTCGCAACAGCATCACCCATCTTCAGACACAGTAGGATATTATTGGATAATATTTGATCGAATAGACCACATCCAAGACGTAATAAAGAAAATATGGGAGCCGGAGCTGAGAGTGTACACGAAGATCGTGGAGAATGGATTCAATGCCGTTCGCAACAGCTCGGACTTACGTGTGGAACGACTAACCGCATTTTACGTCAAGATCTTTAAWTGAAAGCTTACAAAATACAGCTTGTGCAAGAAGCCGCTCGACCTCCTCAAGTGACATTGCTTCCCTTTATRAGCTTTTGAAAAGTTTCAAGTAGATCTGATGTTTTCTAGCCAAATTTTGTTCAGCGATGAGGCACATTTCTGGCTTAGTGTGTTTGTAAACAAGCAAAATTTCCGCCTCTGGAGGAAGAGGAGTAAGAGCTGCCATTTTATTTTATGGTTTGGTGTGGTGTGTGAGAACGTAAATGTCAATAGCGGCCATTATCGGGCCATGATAACCGATTATTTGTTGGTAAAAATTGAAGCCAAATTATGTTTCTTCGAATGACAGTAAACATTCTCCAATAAATTTGAAGTKTCCGTGTTTTTTATTTAAGAAAAGCAGGCAACTTCGAAATGMATCACGCATTATAAATTTTAAATTCGAAATATTTTTCCATCCCAATACTTTCCGAAAAGCAATAAAGCTGTTGTATTACAATCATAGCGGTAATTTTACAGCTCAACGGCAGAAAGAGAGCACACAAACTCATGCTCGTGGCGAAATCCGYAACATTTAATTGCTCAACGCATTTAAGTTTAAACATGCAGAGTAATTAAATCGAGAGCCTTTTCGTCCTAACGCCTGTAAGCGGCAATAAAATCAACGCGACAGCTGTGCGACAAAGTTAACCCGTCGTGCTGCTCACATTTACATACACACATACTAATGCATTTAGGTAACCGCAAATCACAACAAACTTTTATGGCAGTGCTTTTCGCGACACTATCACTTGCGGCGGCACTATATAAATTAAACGCCTGACTTTTATGCGAAACTTAAATTAGAAATACATTCTTKTATATGTGTGTGCGTGTGCTTGAAGCCGCCGTTTAGGTGCTACCTTAATTGTATGCAATGCTCGCTCCATACTCTCAAGCAACTTTTGCTACACTCCACCAGTGTTGTGTATGTAGAGTTGTTGCGTGCCACAAATTAATCCAAGCACTCAACACTGCAATTTCCTGCCAAGTTTGCCTTTCAAATTGCTTCATTAGCTTCTTTGTGGCTGCGGCTGCGGCAATGCAATCACCAAGAATACTACCGTTTTTAGTGCTGGCATCACTTTGGTACCGCAAAGCGTTGTAAGCACAAGCGCAAATTACCTCTTCTTTGSCAATTGCGTTGCATACTTGAAGGCGCATGGCCGCAAGCAGCCATTTTCTTGATGCCGCTTAACTTTCCAGGCTATTAAGTGCGCGTGTTTTTACAAAATATCCAACATTCACTTTTGCAAGCCATTAAGCACGCCTGCATTGACCCTTCCAGCAGCAGCAGCAGTGGCGGCGGCAAAGTGGTTGGGTGGCAAGAATGGCAAGAAACAATTGCGTTGTTMGTGTTAGTTAGTTSAGTGGATATTATCTCAGTGAAGAAAGCAGTCTACTGGGTTGCTGCTGTAGCTACAGATAAGCCCAGTTTCTTCCTGTGGGTAATTTTCTTTACCTTTTTTGCTCATTTACTGTACTTTTTGAAGAAAGGATTCTGTGAGTGCTTCCTTGTGTAGTTACGGAGAGACGTTTAGCTGTGTTTAGCCGTTAAAATAGTTATTTTGTGTTTTTCGCTCTGATAATTGTAAAGACTCAGTTGCACCTTAAACATTGTTAGAATTTTYGTACAGCTCCTTCAATTGCCATAGTCATAAATATACAAATACATATATATTTAATTCTTCCTCAAATGTTGTTAAATATATACGCAAATGTCTTTTCTCATTTATTTTTTATTTTTTGTTTGATTTACAGACATAAATAAATGTAACACCCGCTTGGGCAACTTTTAATTATGCAGTAGTTGCCAAAGCCGGAAAGTAAAATATATTGTGCCTAATTTTGAAGTGAAATTACGAGGGTAAGCCTTCAAATTTTCCGATCTACACTATACTCCGTTTTATTCATTTATATCTAGAAAGGTTACTTTTTGATTTCACTTTTAGCGAGAACATCAAGATTAGTTAAAAACTTGGCTAACCTCAAAACACCGAAATTGGAAAAAGCCCATATAAACTTCTCATCATAATTTGGCTTACTTTGCTTTCTGAATTTGTGATATCATTATATCACCACCATAAACTTCTAAGCGAGTATACCCAGCTAGTGCCGAAGGATGTGTGTTAAAGAATGCCTTTAACAATCCCACCAAGTCTAAGACTTTCGAATATTCATTTTTGATTACTTAAATACCACTGCTAAGTCTCAAAAACACTTTTTAGTTGGTAGAATAGTGTAACAAACATTTTTCTATCCAATGCGCTATAATGTCGAAGCATTCAGGACAGTCAGATCAGCATGCAATATTTTTATTTTTTCTAGAAGCCACATGCTTCAAATCGGCTAACGATCGTAATCAAGTGTATGTAAATAAGGTTCCTTATTTTATAATATTTTTTGATTATCTCAAGTTCCTATAATCACCATCGTCAGTTCAGATTCCCTTCAACAGGTATTTTCAGTTAGTTTTTTGGTTAGCTGTTTTTAAAAATCCGGTTGTATGTTTAATTCAGCCGAGTAGAGAGTAATACGATTTCTGTTTCTTTTCTGGTGGAATAAATAGCAAACTGTAGGCCYCAGAATGATCTAGATTAACCTCACCTATAAAACATAAATAAGTTTAAATGAGAAAAACTTCAAACT